TAGAGATCACATGGATAAACAGAGGAATTGAGATAGAGATCAAGAGTTCCCCAAATATATAATGGCAGTAGAAATTGAAAGATTTGCCTCTGGTTGGTGGTTCAGTAGGCTACCATTATTCGGGCACATGACATGAGCTGATATCTGCTACAATCTCCAACCACCAAGGATAATTATACACTGAGGAAAAAAACAACAAATAAAACAAGGGTCAGAGGCATACACACTTCTGTAACAAGGTTAAATGCATCTATGTAATACACTTGCATATTTAATATGTAAATGCACAAACTTAAGCGGGCAACATGTTTCACAGTATGGGAAACAAATGTTAAAACACATGGATTTGCTTTATTCCTTGATGGATAAAAAATTCTAATCTTCCAAAGTTTGTCCTGTCATTTTTATAGTGAAGAAAATTTAAATCCTGGAAATATTCTTCTCTTTCCTTTAAGGTATCTTTCTTGTTCAATCAAGGGGCAGCACTGGCAGCATTGTACAATGTACTCAACCAGAAATACCTTATGGTTGAGGTTAGTGGACTAGATTTTGTATTTTCTAACTTCGTGTAAGCAGAATCATCTCTAGAACAGTCTGGATGGTTGGTGACCTGGATGTCACAAACAAGTCTCTTTCTTTTATTTGGTAGCTAATAATATTGCAGTTGAAGCAGACCTGGAATCGTCCATGAATCTTTAGTACAACCATGCACCTACTACCCAGGACCACCACTCTCACAGACACAGCTAGCTAAAACAATTTCATTAAATGCAAACTTAAATAAAGATAAAGGGTTTCTGATTTTGACTTACAAAAGAATATACTTAAATGAGGTGGAAACGGAGAATCGTGGAACATTTGAGGAAGAACACGGGACACAGTCCACAACACAGATTCAGCTTATCTAATTGCCATCATCAATGTCCTTGAATCACATATATGAGACTATGTGGCAAACTAGAGTACATAAGTTCGGCATAACAGCATTAAATTATTGTCTTCAGGATTTAAATGTAGTAAAGGAAGGAGGGCCAGGTACCTAGTTTTTAATCTCACAAATACTATAACGAACGTACGTACTTCTGTACCCTTATTCCTCCGGACCTTAGCAATTGCTCTTCCAAACACCAGAAGCCTACCAACATTCACTATATAAGCCAAATGAATCTTATCCCAATTTCCCTGAAAAGAGAAGCAAATTTCTAGAGAAGAGGAACCACACAACTAACAGTCACAACTAAAAATCAACCATGTATGGTCATATTCATGCACTTTCAGTAAGTTGTTACCTAGCAGGTATATAGGAAAAGGACTTTTAACCCACATCTTCAATTATCTATATTTGTTTTTAGGAGCAATGCTTGTGCTATTTAGGCATGCTACCTGCTTTTCCCTTTTAAATGTCAAATAATACACACATTTAGGGAAGGGAAAGTTCATGGCCAAAATTTTGTTATGACACGATAGCTCAGTGCTTAAGGGCATGTACCTTCTGCACAATAATCACATTTCAAGTTCCAGGATGTGGATATCACATACCATGGGACCAACCACTTACAAAAGCATATAACGTGCAATCTGTAAACACATGTGCGTGAAACAAATTAGGCATATTAATGCAGGCTTGTTATTGCAAAAATGAATCTCCTTGTGCAGGAAAAAAAAAAATCATCATTGGTGCCAAGATCTTTGCTCTAAAAAGCAGGCCCATTTACCAAATTTAAGACCTAAATAAGCCCAATCCTCAACACCTTATTGGTCAGAGACATTTTTTTCCCCAACCATTACAGGTTGATGAAGGTGCGTAAGCAAATTCCCCATTCAACAATTTTGGTGCCATAGGTGCAACATGAATGAATTAGTGGAGCAGTTGAGGAAGGTGTGTATTCTATACTAAATAATTACCTGCAGAAACTATGGGTACAACTGAAGTCACTAACCATTACAGATATTTCTAATTGATTAATTATTACAACAAACCTCATTAACCACTCCACTTTGATGGTATTACTTTTAATGTTGATGGTAATTATCCCACACCAAATGCAACTACCAACAGAACTAGAATAATCAAATTTTAAAACTAACTACCAGAGCTATCAGTCTCATGGAAGCATTATCCAGCGTAAAACATGAATAAAATTGTGGATTGTTTCAAAAGAACCAATTAACCTCTTCAAAGCACAAAAATTATGCAGGATTCCATTTGAAAAGCATTTACCGACCTTCAAAATATGTGGCGACACGATGCATTTAGTTAAACTGTCTAGAATAAGACATTTAACCACCTTTATAATTTGAAAAAGAAATTCAAATTTAACAGCAATAAGAAATTTAGAATATAGTAAACAATACTATGTGTAATCATGGAAACAAATTCAACATTTGTCCAGCAGATTGAATCATAGAAAGAAAAGTAGCTCGAACTATATGGTGCAAGAAACAACATAATAGAAAAGGCATGACATTGAGCTTTTCAGAATTGCAGTACGTAGTTACGAGTATGAACCTAATAGAATCACAAGGGTGTAATGTGTTGAACACAAAATCAACAGAAAATAATAGCACACTCATGTACCTCCATAGAACACCAAGCCAAACGAAATTCTTTTATTCCCAAGGCATGTGGATCCTGATTTTATTCGATTTCCTGGGAAAGGAAGATGCATGTATAATTTATATCACAAAGTTCCGTAATATGCTTAAACAACAGTAATATAACGCCTTACACTCGAAATAACAAAGTTCATGCCATGCACTTCTTACTTAAGAAACTACTACATTGTGTGAATGGAAAATAAGAATCAATTGGGATCATCTCAGAGCAAGATATATCAAAGATAAGGATAAAGGTATGTGAGTATTTTGATCGTGACAAAATATACCATCCAACTTTACTTGGTTGAAATCAAAGAAAGATTATGTAACCCACAGAATCCAGAAAGCAAGTGAATTCTATGCTAGATCGACTTTCCCATTTATCTAATGCTGTTGCTTGTAATTATGCTTGCTCTGATTGTGGTCTCAAGCAGCAAGAAGTGAAAGCATCAAACACTACCAAAGGGGCAAAAGTCCAATACTATAATACTATATATATCAAAGGCGAGAGAGAGAGAGAGAGAGAGAGAGGAAGAAGAAGAGGAAAAGGTCAACAACCCAAAATTAAAGTTAAAAAAGCAGCATAAAATAATAGAGTTAAAAGACAATTGTCACATTGCTCACAATTCAATTATGCATAGCCAAAAAGGCATATATGAATGAAAATTGAAGAAAAATAGAATGAAATTACCAATCTAGAAATACTATAATGCAGGATGAAAATTTTCCAATTTACTGTAGACTGTAGACAGATGCTACTTCTTTTTTTTCTTTTTTTTTATAGTGACAATTGTACTAATAATATTAATATATGTTCTTGAGAGATAGAATAGTGTCAAACTCAAAATTTGAATTTCACATTATTAGAATGCTATCATTTTACTTCTCAAAAAGAAATATGATCACTTGAACAATATGAGTGATTAGTTACAAATGGATGCTACTTAAAGTTTATATTTATTACGGATCCGATACAATGAGTAGAAAAATGTAAAGATAAGATATAAGCAGTCGGTTTTTCTTTGAATGCAATGAGGGAAGAAGAAAAACTTGCATTGTATTTATTGGGTAACTTATTTTCCGCATAATAAACTTTCTTTTTTCGGCGGATAAACAAACGGAAAATTCGAGAATCAACGTGGACACTTCTCCGGAGAGAACAGGAGAAGACGAATGGGAATATTAACGACGACGTTCCAATGGTTGAGAATCCGTTGGATGTAGTATAGTGGTTGCGGACAACATAATTGCAGTTTTTTTAGATAATTTATATTTTATATTCTTATACACAAACTTTTAAATGAAAATTTTTTTAAAGAATAAAGAAGTTTATTTATTATTTTAAGATTTATATTTTGTAATTTAATACTGCTAAACTACAAAGCAAAGCAGTTTTTTTTTAAGAGTATTTTTGTGATAGTTTAGAAACATTTTGAGACTAATTTTGTTGAAGAAAAATTTTTACCCATTCAAATTGACGTTAATTGAAAGAAAAATTTCCCCTCCTTGGTGGCCCTCCTCCATTTCCTACCTTACGATTGCGGTGGGATTAAAGCATATTTTAACATTTACAGCGTTTGCAATTTCAACAAACTGCGCTGCGCAAGCTTTTAAGCCCCACTCATAACAGCTATGATCCTAAACTCTTAGCTCAGTGTAGCATGTCAACTGCACCTATGCGTGCATAGCTTGTCGTTTCCTTACTGTGACATTTACTTCTTCCATGTAAATAACAGAGGGGCAGGGCAACTGCCAGGATGAATAAACTGGATAAAGTTCTGTAGTGAATGTCTAGGCCCAGCTACTCAATTCATAGGTGGATCGTTTAACAGGTAATAAAGGGACCTGAACTCAGTGCAGGAATTCAGGATATCATCACAGCCTAATAATTCATAAAGTAACTTGTAGTGAATTAACAGAGTCATGCACCACCCTCATTGAGGTGAGTTACTGGTTTCTATTGCAGGCAGGCAGCATGCGTTCAACCTTGAAATACATCATAGAGGTGAATTACACTGATATGGCGTATCCTGTAAAGATTCTGTTTTTATTGATACCAGACTGACCACTATTTGACCCCTATACATGTAGGTAAAAGCATGAATAACTCTAGGGCTAATAGTTATAGACTGAGATTACTTATATTAAAAATTGTCGAAATCATAAATTTTAACTATAGTTTTACTAATTTATAATTTCTAAATAATTCATTATAATATTTAAGAACATTTATTTATAAATTAATTTTAATATATTAAATAATAAATATTAATTATTTATCCATTATTAAGTCACCTTTCCCACAGCTCACCTTCCGTTGAGAAATGACAGACTCATCTGAGTGTCTGGAGAACCTTAGGGGTAAAGAAACAATAATGCAGAGAGCACGACAACGTAGAGAAAATGCATAGCATTAAGGAGGTTCCACCATAAAACACCCAAATCAACAAAATGCAATCAACACAAGGCACAACAACCTAGATTCCTATGATATATATAAAGTCCATGATCACTGATTTTCCAAACAATTTTGTCGTGTTTTGCTGCAATCATGACAAACCTGTGACTAACATAAAACATGATATCAATGTAGTTCTTTAATTAAACAAAACATGGATGCCATAGAATACACAATGATGGTCCATCCAGCATAAAGAACACTGAATATGGCTTATGCCCTCAATTATCACAGCTTCATCCGATTTTAGCTTCCAATTTAAGATAGTCAGCAAGCTCAGGGCTTTTTCTAGTTCCTGTTCTTCGATTTCTCCATTGCTCTAGGAGCTGTAGAAAAAACAAAAATACTGTTAATAATAGCTTTAGTAACAACTGCAATTCAGATGAGGAAGTCACTCAGTATAATGTAAAAAGTCTGCACCTAAAACACTGACAAGAAACAATATATTTCTTTTTCACTACATTTGTTTGCAAATATGCATGGTAATTTACCATGACAAGTGAATCTATTACATGGACAAGCACAATAAATGTAACACAATAGAAGCATGCATAACGTTATCCATGATGAAGAAACAACCATTCAAATGAGACAGAATAGTTAACCAAGAAAACAGAAACATATAAGGTGTTCCAAACCATTTTTCTTCAAGACAATAGTATTTACTTAAAACATTAGTCTACTGCAAAATAGTACAGAGCCGACATAGCAATAAAAGAATTAACAGATCTTGGGAAGCTTAGGCTATTGTGTCACAAATCAAGAACCATTCACAAAAACAAACATTCAATAGTATTTAGTTGTCAACTAGATCAGTAAAACACAGGATTGTACCTAATCCAATGGCATCAGAGCTTTTCATGATCTTAAGCTTCTTGCATGAATCAATAAACATCCTGTCATTTAAAAAAAGTATCAATCATCAGCAGTAACAATGTTATCCAGAAGTGCTTCATTCTTCACACAGGATGCTAGTTACTATTAAATTAATAATCATCAACAAGAGGGAGAACATACAGTTGACATGTAGTAAGGAATTCATGTTCATATAAGAATGCTCCCAACTCTGCATGCAAGTGTGTGTTGACAGTTCACAACTTAGGAGGTTTCTCATATATATCATAGATAAAACTCCTCAGAACAATTGCAACACTATGTTTTTAGCATATCAACTTTTAGAGCTAGCATAATATTCATGCATGCATGCCTGTTAATCTTCAAATTAATCTTATATCCAGAAAGATTATATATATTAAAACTAGTTTTACTTGGATGTTGGAATATATACATGCACATATATATACCAATACACAAACAAACACACATCAACTAGAAGTTTGGCTTGCAAGGATAGAAAACTAAATCCTTGGCTGATTTCTAAAATTTGAACCACGAATCATATAGGATATTGGTAAGATTGATCGTCTGTATCTTATCATATATAATCAATTCCAGAATCTTCAAATGATCTAAAGATTCACCTACCCAAAATCAACATTAATGCAAGGACATGGTGGGTGCTACAATCAGGACATTTGGAAACTAAGAACCTACCCTGGGTGATCACTAGCCCAATCTCCTCGTGTTTGTTGCTTCTGTGTTTTGAGCTTGAAGCCCATATGGAAGCTTAAGTAATTAAATTTCTTAAAGCAGCCCCAAATGAGCAGGCAGCATGAATCCCATTTTTTGTGTCCACATAAATCGAAGTTTTTGAAAGGAGGAAAACACAAGGAAATATCAAAGCAAACAAAGATAAAAGTGTTGAAGCTTACTCCCATGGGACATCCCCAACAAGCATCCAGTCACCATCCTTATCCTCATATGTAAGCACATATTCTGATCCATGCAGAAGATCCTTCAACTTGCTCTCATTCCACAGTTCTCTACCTGCAGTGCCCTGGGTCCCACATTGACCTGAAATCATAATAAAAATGCAGCAATGTAAACATTACTATGCTAACATGGGAAAATTTTCATTTATTAAAGAAGCCAATAAAACTTCCTTGTGCATCAGAAAGATACACTACCATGATCTCTATAGTACAGGAACAACTTACCAAACCTATCAAAAGACAAAAAGGGATAGCTTACCAAGAGTAAAACAGCTGAACATCTTCTCAAGAGCAGAGGATAGTTCCTGATAAGTTGTGTATGTTCTCAAATCAACCTTCCTCAGAAAAGGTGCACCATCCATGCTGACCTTGACAAAAAGAGCACCTGGACCTGGCTTCCCATCCACTTCATCATTATTCTTTGAGGAAGAGGCCAGTGTTTTAGTCCTAAATGTTCTTATAGGCGGCCAACCAACTACCTGTGCCCTGTCACGAATGGGATATAGATACCAAGTCGTAAGCTAAAACAAAAGGCTTAAGATCCAGTATAATTTACCCCTTCCAATCCAAGTCCCATTCTTTTTCTAGAAATTAGCACTTACTTTGCTGCAGGTTGACTGCCGTTGATGTTAGAAGTACCAGTTTGGTTAAGGTTGGTTCCAATAGTGGAATGAGGTCGTTCCTGTAGAGCATTAGTAGGCACATCTTTCTTTATAGCTGCTTGAGCACCAGAAGGTCTTGGTGATAACATTGCATTAATCCCTGAATTTGCTGGATATTTACCTTGTCCCGCAGACTGTAAAGACACAGAATCAGGACCTACAGAATTAAACATCCAATCTTTAACAGTATCTTATAGAACCATTTACCTTTGAGAATCCATCCATGGTGTCATAAAATCCCCTTTTGTTTCCTGAAACAATGCTCTTCTGTGATGATGAGCAAATTCCATCCTTGGAAGGAACCAAAGGAAACAAGGGCTTCTCATTAAGCGTCCCTGAGTTCAACAAGCAAAGATCTAGTTCTCTCTCAGGAGATTGAGATCCAGGAAGACCAAGCCTAAGCTCTGTAGCCTTCAGATTTAGATTGTTCTTGTCATCCTCGGGCAAGCTAGAGACAGCAGAGCTATCAACTGAAGAACAATCAGATAAACCCAGATAATTACGCTCTTTTAACCCCAATCCATTTTGGGAGATACAGTCAGCAGGAGGAGAAGAAACCTCGCTCCGCCCGTCCTCCACATCCAGTACTGGCGGAGACATTAGTGCTAAAACCGACCAAGATAGCCTCTTCAACTGCAAAGCATCAAAACAATAAAAAAACAAATGAAAATTACCCCTCATTTCAACAAAATTTTTAGCTTACAATAATTATATTAAAATAAATTATTGGTGAAATGGTCTCACAACTTTGTCAAAAATTAGATGAGCTAACAGTTTAGTTAATTGATAATTATGATCCTTGACAACAAAACAACCCTAGAAAAATTGCAAGTGGATAATACCCAGTTTATCAAATAAATCAAAATACAACAAATTAAGCTTTCAACGAACTTCAGGAGACAGCCTCCAATTCTTCCTTTCAAAATTGCATATGTACTAACATAGAAGAAACATGCATGCCGATTTTAACAGAATAAATCGTAAAGAAATTTCACTAATCGTAAATTTCATTTTAGCTTCAGCTGGAATAAAAAGTCAACCAAGTCCTGCGTACAGTTCTTTCCCTTGGGCGAGTTGCCTTTAACCTTTCTTCAGCGAGCTGAATTATCCATTTTCTTAAAATCTAAGAAAAAAGAAACAAAAACAAAAACAAAAAAAGGGAGAGAAAAACTACTAAGGAAATCTAGCCTCTCCATATATTTTCTTCCCTCAAATTTTCCTTAACTTTCTCGAGAAACAAACAGAAGACGAAAAATACAAAACTCTCATGCTTGAGATCTCGCGTTAAAATAAAAATTATCCAAAAAAGAAAATAAAAATTACAACCATAAGGATCTCTCAAATACTAAAAAAAAAAGCTTAAATCAAAACAGATTCGAGCAAAATCAACACACGAACAAGACCCTCGCTATGCACAAAATCAAATTCAAGAAAACAGAAGGAATCTAAGAACCAGCAACAAAAAAAAAATAGTAACAAAAAGCAAGAAAAAATTTAAACGCCTACCGGAGAAAACGATGCAGAAGAGAGAAAGAAAAGAAGATGAACCAAAGCTTTCGTGTTGCAGAAGAGAAATGCACGAATTGCAGAGGGTAAAGCTCAAGGTCCTTCCATTAACCAGAAAACAACAAAAGCTTACACCGAGAAACTCGAACCTGAGGGGAAAAATAAATTAAAAAGGTTGTGGTATTTTTTTTGAAAAAAAATAGTGAACCTGCGGGCTGGTTTTGTTCTTATATAGAATGCAGCGATCGTGGAGGGGGAATATGATCGGACGGCTGAGAGAGGATCCAATTGGGTTGAAATAGGAAAGATGGTTCCGATTGGGTTCTGGTTACTGCACTCTGTCTTGTTTCTGGTTCTGATTCGGAAGTCAAAAGTCATATCTGCCCTTGTATTGTTAAATGACCATCGTATCCTTGCTGGTTAAAACTGCTAATGATAACTAATTAACTTGCAACTGTCATCACACGTGTGGGCACGGTTGGAGTTCTCATTTTCTTCCCTACTTTTCTTCTTGACTCATAATTTTAATTAGTTAGTCTATTTTATAAAAAGGTTTTACCATAAAATAAAGTAAAAATTAATTTCATCATATATTCCGACCTTTTTCTCTCTTTTGTACAATAAATTATAAATATATTTAATATTTTTTTACATCGCTTAGTACACTTCATTGGTTTTTTTTTCTTTTTTTTTTACAAAAAAATTGAATTATTCTTACCTCCATCGAAATGACATGATCATTTGACTAGTTTACGCTGTTGGCTTGATAACGAAATTTTAAATAATCACAATCAAGGAAGGGTGTTAGAAAAATTCCAATCATCATGTCTTTTCGTTAGATACAAATACCAAAAACAAAATTTTCAGTTGTTTTACTGATATTAGCAGTAATTAATTGAGATTCTAAAGCTTGAAAGTGTTACTCCAAGCCAAGACACTCAGCAAAAGTGTATACATGATGTAAGTTACTATTACTTAATTAAATACAATAAAGTCAAGAAAATTTTTTAAATTTTTGGATTTAAGGAAACTAAAAAAATATTAATTTTTAAGTTCCTAACCACTTTATCTAATAGTTGATTGGCTAAACAAATTTTATTTCAATGTTATAAATACATACACCATTGTCATGTTATATATATATATATATATATAACAGAAAGTAACAGTAACTGATGAAAAGCTTATTTTAAAATTTTAATTTAAAATCCAAATTAAAAAGTTATGTGTTTATATATTTAAAAAATATTATATAGTTTAAATTGTTTTAAATTATATAATTTTAATTATTATATAAAACAAGTCTTCTAATGTTAGGTGATTAAGACTTTTTCTTATTTAATTATTTTTGTTTTATAATACAGTATACATTATAAAATATATTATTTTTATATATTTTAATATTATTTTTATTGAAAAACCCTTTTTTTTTAGATGTAGAATTTATATAGCATTTATTATTGATTTTTTCGGCCATGACATGAAACATTGGACTGCGTTTTAATTTGTCATTATTCAAGTTTGGGCTAATGCCATTGGATGACGGGAATCTTTCCTGCCTGCTCCAAAACATGATGGACGGATTTTTATCTGATACAAAGACAAGAGTCTTGGCCTCAATTTCATAGGGTTGCTTTCCTTAATTGAGGCTGACTTTAGTTGAATGTGACAAAGGACCATACAAGCATATATGTTTTGGAATTTATGGGAAGTTATAATTTCAGGTTGCCTAGCCAAATGTATTAAATCCAACTCAGTTAGTTGTCTGAATTTCATTAATATTGGAAAACATTTAGTTTGACTATAACTCTTGTATTGATCGTTGAGTATGGGAAAAGAGTTGCGTTTGGGATTTTCAATTCTAAAAATATCATACCGCACGTGAAAAGTGATGTAAAGAAGAGCATCTACCTATTTTATGGTTATTAATAAAAATAAAA